GGCTATTGAATGTTTCCCTTAAATGCTCTATATACTCAATAGCTCTAAGGGTCTTGAAAAGCATGTTATTAACGCACCTCCACTGAGTGGCCAATGATCTTTTTGAACATGTGGTGCACCAGACGTTGGTAGGTGGTGCCTACATTTTTTAACCCAAATGGCATGACTTTGTAGCAGTAGGTCCCATCTTCGGTTATGAAGGAGGTCTTCTCCTGATCTAACTCGTACATCATAAAGTGGTTGTAACCTGAGAATACATCTATGAATGAAAGTAACTTGTAACCAACTATGGCGTCTACCAAGATGTCGATTCTTGGAAGTGGAAAGCAATCCTTTGAGTAGGCTTTGTTTAAATCAATGAAATCTACACAGAGCCGCCACTTTCCACTTATCTTCTTTACCAGTACCACGTTGGCAAGCCATAGTAGATACTAGACTTCTCTGATAGTTTTTGCATCCAAGAGCTTTGCGACTTTTTTCTTTATTGCCTGATTACGTTTTGGGGCAAAGATTTCCCATTTCTGTCGAATTGGTTTGTAGTTTAGATCAACATTCAGCTTGTAAACAATTACTATTATAAGGTCAATCTTACTCATATCAAATTGTCTCCAAGAGAAAATATATTTGTTAGAGTTGAGGAATTCTATCAATGAAGCCCTCAGGTTTTCTTCGAGCATTCTCCCTATGAAGGTGACATGCTCGGAGGAGTCTCTGATCTGAACAGGTTCCAAGTCTTCTACAAGCTGCAGGCGTTCTGGGTCCTTCCTATGATCTAGGGAGCATACTTAAAGGGTTTCCTATTGTTTTTCCTTCATGGAAGACATATAACACTCTCGAGCTACAATCTGGTCCCCCTGCACCACTCCAACCCCTTCCTTGGTTGGAAATCGCATAAGGAGATAGCACGTGAATGGAACAACCCTCATAACATTGAGGCTTGGGCGCCCTAAGATGACATTGTACACCTAAGGAAAATCTAGTACCGACAAATTTTTCATAACTGTAGTCTATCGTGGGGCCAACCGACTGAGCCTATAACAATGGATCCAATGGGATGAGCCTTCTCCCCTGAGAATCCAATGAGTGGCGCAACTACTAGAGCTAGCCTCTCTTTGTTGATGTTCAACTTATCAAAAGTTGGGGCAAAAATGATATTTGTCGAGCTCCCACTATCTACCAGAACTCTTTTCAGGGCGTAATTGCCTATTGTCAAGGTAACCACCAGCGAATTGTCGTGCGGGTGCTGAACACCACTCAAATCTCCTTCGGAGAAAGCAATTGGTAGACCCATTAAGAGGCTTCTTCTTTGGATTTATCGAGCTTACATCTAGCTCAGACTTTATCTTTCGGGTATGAGCTCGTCTAGTATAGCTACTTGCCCCTCCTCTTGCGAAACCTCCAGAGATCACTATAACATCCCCTACTGGTTGCTAGTGTGGGACCTCCTCTTGGTGATGTCTAACGTCGCTCCTCTCCTATCTCTAGCGTTCTATATACCTCCCAAGGTGTCCGTTTGAATTAGATCCTCGATTTGGTCCTTTAGAACTTGGCAGTCTTCCGTGTTATGACCATGGTCCCTGTGGAAGCGACAATACTTATCTTTAGATCTTTTATTAGGATGTGTCTTCATCTTGCCTATCCATCGGAGGATCCTCTCATCTTGTGTCTGGAAGAGGATCTGCTCTATAGAGGTATTTAGGAGAATCTACTTCTGAGCTGGGTCATTCGGAATGCGAGGACCTAGGCAATCTCTCGCACTGGCCTTTTCCATACGGTTCTTCTTGGGACTTCCAACTCTTTTCTCTTTCTTGATGAATCCCTCCTTTTGTTATCTTGTCGGTCTTCTCATCTATCCTCTTGGCTCCTCCGAGCTAGGAGGGTATCTTCAATATTCATGTGGCACTAGGCTCTTGCCAAGAGCTCTGTCATTGACATGACAAGCTCTTTGAAGAGACCAAAGAGGAATTGAGAAGATTACAATCCTCCCATAAAGGCGGTCAAGGCAACCTTGTCATCCACATTATCATTTTGTAGAGACTCCTTAGTGAAACGATTAACGTATTCCCGCAACGTCTATCCCCTAGACTGCTTTACATTTAGGAGGTAGGTCGGGGGTCTTCTATGGGCCCGCCCTCCAATAAAGTGCGAGATGAAGGAACTGCTTAACTCACCAAATGTATCGATTGAGCTCGACTTCAACTTTTTGAGTCAATGTCTTGTCATTCCTTTGAGTGTGGCGGCAAATGTTCGACACATGATTTGGTCTGAAACATTGTGGAGCATCATCAGAGATTTGTAAGTTTCCAAATGATCTAACGGATCTTTCGTTCCGCCAAACATCTTAATGATTGCATCTTAAACCTTTCTGGTAAGGGGTAATTCAAAACATTTTGTGTGAATGGTGATTCAGTATGCTGAACTAAAGTCTCGATGACCTTAAAGGCCCAGGCTTTTTACTGTATTCATGATGTTCCCTGACTTTTCTTTTATTTCTCAGAACCTTCGTTCCCATCGGCCATTGATATGAGTTCAAGCAACCTCGTTTTGGCTTCGGTTATCATCCTGGTTTTCTCTTGCTCCAAAAGTTGGAGAATTTGTTGATTTTATTTCCGATTGCTTTGTCCAACCTCTTCACCTTTGCAGACTCCTTTTTTAGTGGGGGCACAGCCCTTCGTCCCACTGGGTGGGTACTAGGGTGTTCAAGTGTTCAGTTAGCCGCCGATTCTTTTGATGCCCTTGTTACTCCATGAGATTTGAAATTTGTGAAAGTGTTTCCCAGAAACGGCGCCAACTATTGATCCCCAAAAGCAGTACTAGTAAATTGTTTGACGACCATGTGATTCCCGTCGAGCTCCTACAAGAAAATCGAAGACCGAAGGGGATCCAGGGATCGACCCTCCGATAATTAAGTCAGTAAAGCTTGAAAAAGCTCATTATAATTGAGCTGAAAAAAATTACTGATCTGATACCTAACTTGCCCCTCTCCGNTGGATTTATCGAGCTTACATCTAGCTCAGACTTTATCTTTCGGGTATGAGCTCGTCTAGTATAGCTACTTGCCCCTCCTCTTGCGAAACCTCCAGAGATCACTATAACATCCCCTACTGGTTGCTAGTGTGGGACCTCCTCTTGGTGATGTCTAACGTCGCTCCTCTCCTATCTCTAGCGTTCTATATACCTCCCAAGGTGTCCGTTTGAATTAGATCCTCGATTTGGTCCTTTAGAACTTGGCAGTCTTCCGTGTTATGACCATGGTCCCTGTGGAAGCGACAATACTTATCTTTAGATCTTTTATTAGGATGTGTCTTCATCTTGCCTATCCATCGGAGGATCCTCTCATCTTGTGTCTGGAAGAGGATCTGCTCTATAGAGGTATTTAGGAGAATCTACTTCTGAGCTGGGTCATTCGGAATGCGAGGACCTAGGCAATCTCTCGCACTGGCCTTTTCCATACGGTTCTTCTTGGGACTTCCAACTCTTTTCTCTTTCTTGATGAATCCCTCCTTTTGTTATCTTGTCGGTCTTCTCATCTATCCTCTTGGCTCCTCCGAGCTAGGAGGGTATCTTCAATATTCATGTGGCACTAGGCTCTTGCCAAGAGCTCTGTCATTGACATGACAAGCTCTTTGAAGAGACCAAAGAGGAATTGAGAAGATTACAATCCTCCCATAAAGGCGGTCAAGGCAACCTTGTCATCCACATTATCATTTTGTAGAGACTCCTTAGTGAAACGATTAACGTATTCCCGCAACGTCTATCCCCTAGACTGCTTTACATTTAGGAGGTAGGTCGGGGGTCTTCTATGGGCCCGCCCTCCAATAAAGTGCGAGATGAAGGAACTGCTTAACTCACCAAATGTATCGATTGAGCTCGACTTCAACTTTTTGAGTCAATGTCTTGTCATTCCTTTGAGTGTGGCGGCAAATGTTCGACACATGATTTGGTCTGAAACATTGTGGAGCATCATCAGAGATTTGTAAGTTTCCAAATGATCTAACGGATCTTTCGTTCCGCCAAACATCTTAATGATTGCATCTTAAACCTTTCTGGTAAGGGGTAATTCAAAACATTTTGTGTGAATGGTGATTCAGTATGCTGAACTAAAGTCTCGATGACCTTAAAGGCCCAGGCTTTTTACTGTATTCATGATGTTCCCTGACTTTTCTTTTATTTCTCAGAACCTTCGTTCCCATCGGCCATTGATATGAGTTCAAGCAACCTCGTTTTGGCTTCGGTTATCATCCTGGTTTTCTCTTGCTCCAAAAGTTGGAGAATTTGTTGATTTTATTTCCGATTGCTTTGTCCAACCTCTTCACCTTTGCAGACTCCTTTTTTAGTGGGGGCACAGCCCTTCGTCCCACTGGGTGGGTACTAGGGTGTTCAAGTGTTCAGTTAGCCGCCGATTCTTTTGATGCCCTTGTTACTCCATGAGATTTGAAATTTGTGAAAGTGTTTCCCAGAAACGGCGCCAACTATTGATCCCCAAAAGCAGTACTAGTAAATTGTTTGACGACCATGTGATTCCCGTCGAGCTCCTACAAGAAAATCGAAGACCGAAGGGGATCCAGGGATCGACCCTCCGATAATTAAGTCAGTAAAGCTTGAAAAAGCTCATTATAATTGAGCTGAAAAAAATTACTGATCTGATACCTAACTTGCCCCTCTCCGTTATAAGCTATTGGCTTCCTTTACCGTTGGAGCTCCCTTGGTTACTTTTCAAATGGCTTCCTTTACCGTTGGAGCTCCCTTGGTTACTTTTCAAATGAGACGCCCCATAAAGTAGAACCTCTCTTTCATAGCTAAAGCTGGTTTGAGCTACTATCGTGGGGTTAGGTGACGATGCAACTAGGATCAACTGGGTATATCTCACCAGTATCGCACATCCCATGGCCCTTATAACTTCACTTGCTTTGGACATGCATATGCTAACCAGATTAACATCCATCAAGAACAATTCTCGCTAAAATTTGTACAAATTTTCTTCTAATGTAGCAAATTTAACCCCATCCAATTCCATCAATAAGTGAGTTACTAAAATGTCACATCATTTGCTCCAAAAAATTTAATATGAAAATTCAGTAATAGTATCAGTCTAGAATGTCAAGTACTCCTCACTTGGCATTAGAAAATGACTTGCTAGGCTACATTTTTGTAGGAGGAAACAGGAGGGAACAAAAGTTCAAAAAGGAATTACAAGCTCTATTACAATCTGTATTAGAAACTTCAGTAAATAATAACACTAACACAATAAGATAATGCTGACATTGTTGAAAAATTCGCATTACTAGCAACAGCTGAGAGGCACAGAATGCCCTGGCTTCTAGTCTTAACCTCATGATTGTCACTTGATAAAACTCATCCATGAATCTGTTCATCAATCAATCTTCACTGATGAGTAAATGAGTCTGGTGAACAAGAAGCATGCATAGAAGCCGATGGTACCAGTCAACACGAAAAAAGCGTACGAAGCAATCAACATGTACCCAAAATATAACATCCCAGAAATTGGCTTTGTGATGTCTAGCTTGGTGAAGAAATAAAAGGTAGCATAGAGGAAGAGGTACAATGCTGAGGAGCCTGATGTCAGGTATGACCTCCACCACCAGAGGTAGTCCTCACTGCACAGCTGGAAGTAGCAAAGCACAATGCTTATTTCAGCGCAGGTGACGATGAGTATGATGAAGACTAGGAACAGGAAGCCAAAGATGTAGTAAAACTGATTCAACCAGATTGATGTGAGGATGAAGAAAAGTTCAATAAAAACAGCTCCAAACGGGAGTATTCCACCGATCAAAATTGAGAATATGGGGTTCATGTACCATGCCTGCTCAGGAATCTGCCTGGGAATTTGTTTTGTCTTCACAGGATCCTCAATTGCTGGCTTCTTAAATCCAGTATAACTGCCTGCAAACACTAGTGGGAACGAGATCCCAAACCATAAGAAGACCAGAGTGAACATTGTCCCAAATGGCACTGCCCCAGACGATTTCTGCCCCCAGATGAGTGCATTTAAGACGAAGAAAACTGCAAAGACAGTGGCTGGGAACAGGAATGCGGTTCTGAAAGCAATTTTCTTCCATTCTGTTCCTTTAAACATCTTGTACAATCGTGCAGAGACATAACCAGCAAAAAATCCCATGCAAACCCAGAGACAGAGCATAACAGTCATAAGCCCACCACGGTTTGAAGGGGAGAGGAATCCGAGGACCGCAAACATCATAGTTACAAGCATCATCCCAATGAACTGAACACCTGTTCCAACATAGACGCAGAGCAAATCCGAGTTATTTGGGGGCCTGAAGACATCCGCATGGACTAATTTCCATCCTGTTTCTTCTTGGGCCTCCTCCTGGGTCTCAAGTTCATTGTACTTGGAGATGTCACGGAAAAGTGTCCGCAGCATTATCATTGCCACCATTCCAGAGAGGAAGAGCACAATCATCAAAGAATTGACAATTGAGAACCAATGGATTTGGTCATCACTCATTAAAAGATAAGTATCCCATCTGGAAGCCCACTTAACATTACTCTCCTGCAAAGCATGCAATAGGGTCATAAAAGAAGAAACTATCACACTATGGGAAGCAAATCTATCCATATATAGGAATCAAATTAGAGGGAAGAGGGCTTGGGAAGGTTTCCCACCCATTTGATTAATTCTAGGGATTTTGATTTATATAATTTCTAAACAAAGTTTACTCCAATCAACACCCAACACTTGGCTTATATATAACTCTTCCACTCACGCACTACAAACTACCAGTTTAATTTTTTAGAAAAAAAATCATTTTTAATCGCTATAATTTTCCATAATTCTTTACAAAACCCAAACGGTGGGGTGGGAGAAGGGAGAAGGGTGAGGAAGGAGGGTGAGGGGGAAGGGTAGTATAGCTCGTGCATTACATGGGACTGTCTCTAGCTGGCCTATAAAGTATCACAATTCAGGGAGAGAAAAATAAATAATTACAAGAATCACGTCTGCAAGTGATATCAAAACAAATTATGAAGGAAAGCTAGCCAGCAAGTCGCAGAGATTACACTAAGATCATAAAATAAGGCAATGTTAAAAGTAAAAATTTCCAGTAATGTTGATGGACAGATCACCTGGAACTTGACGTCATAGGTGAATATGATTTCTTGTTTATCTTCAACTTCTTGAGGAGAGTTAGAGCTAGAAACCGTACGTTGTGCATGAGGATCACATGTTGTTAAACGAGTATTCTCATTCCACTGTCCTTCATATTCATGTTTAACACTGGGTAAATCAGAAAAATCAGATATCATAACATCTGTACCAGTTGCAACACAAAAGATGAATCCAGAAGTTTACATAAAATGAGAGGCCCCACAAGAACCAACCTGAACGGCTTGACCTCAAAGCCCACAATCCTCGCTGAGTCCGTTTGCATATCTTTATGATACTTGACAGTAAAAGTCAAGTGGTTGTGGATGAAAAATTTTTCATCCTTGCTCTGTGCATTATTACTCAAAGGCAAGTAAAAGAGAGAACAACTTACACATATTAACAGCTAGAACTATAATGATCATAACATATTTACTTACTCCACTATGTTGTCCCTTGACTCCAACATTAAAGCCCAACTGATAAACAGGAGGAGCTTCTTGATCTAACCTTGGTATGGGCTCGACCAAAGGAAGGTTATCTAGGATCCTGTCAGATGCAAGTAAATTTGTTAAAGAGTGAAGGGCACAAATTTAAAGCAATTTTCTGCAAAATTAGAGATATAGGTAAGTTGCAGAGTGAAGGTTGCCCTACATGTTGACCCGATACTCATCGGCAATCTTATCTTTGAACTCCTTTGCAGTCTTGGGATCAAGTGTCAGCTGACAGACAACATGGCACATCTGTGGTTCCCTCATTTTAAACTGCAACAGACCCATGTAGCTAAAAAAGGTCAATAATCATATCTAGGTGAAGCTACTCATCAAAGGTATTGAACTGACCACAAAAGGGGAGTTCTCAATGCGATCACCGCGAAGTACTTCCCCGAGATTTTCTCTACTATCAACTATGGTTTGTGGACGACAATAAGGAAGAGAGTAGTAAGAGTAAGGAAGCTGAGTCTTTGTCGAGCTCAATTTGTTCACTTTCACATTCAATGAATCACCCTGCATCCAAACATACAAGAACATTATTAATGAAGTCTCAGACACCATGATGAAGAAAAAAGAAGCATGCACCACTAGAGAGGATAAACACAGAATGTAGCCAACATGTCAGATACAATCAAAGTTTCAGTTTAGATATTGAGAAATATATTCAGGAAATTGATTCAAGAAACGTGAACCGAGTCCATCCAAATGCAAGCCGAAATATTTCAACATTGCTCAAATTGAGGCTGAATTAGAATTTTTTACACTTAAATTGTGAAAACTCTCTGCTCTAACTGGATGATCAAACTCAACTTCATTAACAGTGGAAAATATGTATCATATAGAAATAGTATTGAACTTTTGCATAAATTCCAGGGTAAAATGGTTAGATAATTGAATACATCCTCTTCCTCCAAATTTAAAATTTTCCAATTAGTAGGCAGTACAGCAAGCAATCTTTTGACCACATTTCCGTATGAGATTGCAATCAATTCCAAATTGAATATGAGGACCCATGGTTTCTCCTAAGCTTTGATGGTGATGTTTTCTCTGGGCTCAGTCCTTGGTTAGCTTCGCAAAAAGAAATTTCTCATTATGAATTAACAACATTAGACAAAAGCCAAATTAAAGCATGAGCCAAAGAACTTGCTTCTTAAACATATTATGTGGTTTTGGCATAGTCTTAACTTCTATTGAATGATTTCCATCACAAATGGTCCAACAAGCAGCGTTTTTCTAAAAATATATGCAAATAGGAACACCGCCAATGTAGTGTTTTAGTGCCAATCCTTTACATCACCAATCCCAAACCCGAATGGAGCAGGAAGATTATGTTACGTAGCTAACAGCTAGCTTTCAAACTTTGTTAAATCCAATATGAACATGAATCCTAAGAATATTGTAGGACATTCCCCTTAAACGATATTTGCACCCGCACCCTGGTGTTTCAAAAAAGGGGAAAGGGTTGACGCAATTTACTAACCCCAAGGGGTGGAAAATGTGTGAGAGTACTTGTGTCACTCTGGACGAACACAGATAAAGAAGTTAGTCTAGGATACAAAATTTATTTTAGCAAAGGGGTATAGTAACACTTATAAAGGAATGGAGTTAGTTGAAAACTTGAAATCATGATTATAAGAAAAACCAATAGACCATGCTTACAAAAAACTAAATGGGTAGGAAAGAAATCAAGAGAAAGAGAAAATACAAGTTATAAGCTTACCATACATGAAAAGATAGAAAGAAAAAAAAAATGGAAATTGTACATAAAATGACACTGGCACTCCAAAATCTCTTAGTGGCAAAGAAGAATTTAAAATTTTATCTTTGAGGGCCAAAAGAGATTTTTAGAGTGCCAATGTCAACGTTAATTTATCCCTAGTAAATCAAAGAACATAGACAACAAAGAGGAACCCAAATTCCAATGGTTTATTATAGATAATTGGATTTGCTATGCAGTGCGCCATGTTAAATTAACAATTGAAAAAGAGAAAATGAAAAAAATAAAACTCCAAATGAGTAATAACATTAACACAACCATAAATTTTTCAGCCCCAACAATTTTTTATATTATATCTAAAATCTAAATGAATTTCATTTATTGACCTACTCTTGCAAGCTTACCAAGAAAAGCTCAACCATTCCTTCCAAAACTCAATATGCGGATGCCATATATTATCAAACCTTTCTCAAAGAAATTAGCATTGGCAAGAGTTTGAATCATATATTGATGACTCTCAGAGATTAAGAACAATCTATCACTTATTTCCCTTGTGGTAGTTCTAGAGAGCATTCAAAGAGGCCCATGCCTCCTCACAATGCCATTTTGTCCATAAGAGTGATGGTCATACAACGCACTAACAATAAAGCATGCAACATAGATAGCAGAAAGAAAACCAAAAGTAGAAGGTCAGAGAATCCAACCAAAACAGACTGAAGTAAAAAACAAAACAGAGAATACCTGGCTGGTGATAAAATTTGTGACTTAAAAATAACACATTCTGGTTCCATCCCTAAGGTGGGTGGTCTTATAAAGTGCCACTACAATGTAAAATTATTTCACGTATCAATTAAGTGATGTGGTATTTCTTTATGTCTTATAAATAAATATAGGCATTCATATTAATTCCCTCTTACTTCCTCTAAAAAGATATATCTCAAAGGTTTTGATATTCAACAGCTCCATTTAGGTTTGTAAACCTATTGCTAATAGGAAAGGGAAGAAAAAGAAAGAATTTCGTATAAAGAGATCAATGGGAAACAAATTCAAGCATGTGCAATACATACTTGATTAATTCAAAATGAGGGAACAAGCCGAGAATCACTAAAATAATGCAGGCAAGACTTCTAAAACGACTATACTCTCATTACTTGGAAATAATTCAAAGATCTCATTATCATTCTGAACGCAAAGTGCCAACACCTGTTTCATACATAGGATACAAGTAGCATAATAAATGAGTGGTGATTCCATGATCATGACTCAAATACTTAAGTCCACCAACAAACTCTCTCTCTCTCTCTCTCTCTCTCTCTCTCTCTGAATTGAGTATTTTAATTTCAATTGCTATTATGTTCAATATAAATTTCGAGCATCTGGCCTCAAGGAAAGAATACAAGAGAAACCAAATTCATGGGCAGATCTAGTAAGGAACCACCACGGGGCTTGGCCCACTCTAAGAAGTTTTTGATTTTCTTATATACAAGGATATATATCCAGTATACGCCTTAGTCAAATATATTAATTGTGTCCAGTGTCCAACATATTATTTCCATACTTCAATAGGAAATTTCTTAGAATATGACATGTGATTGGTCTGTAATTACATCTTTTAATTATTGGCATTAATTTGCATACTTTGAGTTTTTCTGTTATATTTTCTTAATTTAAAAATAAAATGCTTATAATTGGCTTGCAATCGGTCTTTATTTTTTTACAACTAAGCATCTTCATTTTCCTGCAATAGTTGATTTATCTGTTTGGGTTTTTCAATAGTATTACTAAATTACTTCTTGAAAATTTTTTGCTTAATGACTTTGCTATTTTGCTATCATGATGATCATACTTAGAATATAGTTTGCCAACTAAATCAAAAATCAAAGATTGGAAAAATCAATTATGTGACCGAATGGATGATTAACAGAGAATTGTTTATATGATTGTATATATTGAGAAAGATGTTTTCGATAGCATTTACAAGGAACTATCGCGCAACGCTTTTGATTCAGATATGAAAACAAAAAACTCATGGAGATCAACTGCAAAAGTTGAAATTAGTCTCACATGTTTTCATAAAGGGTTATAAATTGATCTCATTTCTTTTGGCTTGTATGTTATCAACTTAGGCCATCTTCTGCTTAAAGGAATTGTATGCATAGAAAATGACGCAATCAATATATATACATATATATTGTTTTACTCCTACCAATTGGATGAAAAGACATTAAATTTTGTGATAAAGTGCCACCCTAATTTATGTGGCTCTGACCCTGATCAAATTTGAAGTAATTTTTGTTCAATGCCATGTCTATGAACTTTTCACCAGCTATTACTCTGCAGATCATGTCAAAATGGAGCATTCTACCCATAATCTCTAGCCATAGTTCTTAAAGTTCCATTATAGTCCCCTCAACAATCAATCATCTATCTCCAATATCGACAACAACATTAAATTACCTGAAAATAAATAAATTTATAGCCAAAATTGAACCTAAAAATCCGAGTTTTTTCGATCAAATCAAAACCAAATAACAAAAGCAATCAATACAAAGCAAGATCAGAATTAAGAAAGATCTCTGAACAAAACCCAGAAAGATCACTGAACAAATCCCAGATCAAGCACTAGCCAAGAGTCGACCCAAAACATATGTAGACTGACAAAGACACACACATACATAAATATATGCATACACAGATGTACATATATAAATATACAGGGGGGAGAGAGAGAGAGTTGACCGTTTGGAAGTCCTCGGGAGCGACGCCGGGAAGGTAGAAGCCGAGAGTACTGTGGATCGAGAGCAGAAGAACAATGGTTGAGATGAGTGTACGGACCTCATGAGACCCACGATCTCTTCTCATGCTGTTTTAGAAAGGGAAAGTGCAGGTTGAGATAGGAGGGTGGGCGAGCGGGAGGGGGTGGAAGAAAGCTTAGAATTAGATCCAAGCAGGCAAAGGGGTTAATACAGCTCTGGATGAGTAGTTGTCGGTCGTGAGTTTACTTACGTATGAGCGAGAGCGAGAGCGAGAGAGCGAATGAGGTTGCACCCGAGAGGTCCGGATCCTTCCCTTATCCAATCCAGTCAAGGTCTTTGTTTTCATAGACAATTGAGATTGGGCTGGATTGGAATTTGAAGCCAATCTCATCCAACCCAATTCAATTGAAGACCGGCTAGCTGGGGGGGAAAAGATCTCTTATTCATCTAAATTTAACTACATATACTCCACATTTGATAGAAATTTATAAAATCTATAATAATATAGCATTCATGTGTTTATGGAGAAGTTTTCGGAATCTTTTTTTTTTCTCCCTAAATACTAAATTCTTATCATTTTGAATTTTCTATATGGTCTCCTCCAATTAAATTATTCAATTGTGGCATATGCAACCAATATTACCATCCTTGTTAATTATCTCACCTTTTCATTTTGCAATATCTTTAATAACTATTTCACATTTAATCTTTTTTAGATATGTCAATTTAGCACATTAATAGATAAGGTTGGGGTGGTTTGGGTGGGTGTATTAGATTAAAACTTGAATTTTGATCAATTTTAAGCCAAAATTAATGTAGGACCCACTCTATAAGACCTCGTGCCAAATTTAAATATGAATAATATGATCTTAAGAGTACTTTGAATCATTGTTGAAAGAACTGCCATGAAGTTTGAGTTTCACTCAAATTAACCTTTGAGTCAAAATTTAGTTTCGGATGTGTTTAAACTTAAGAAAGGTACCTAAAAAAACCTTGGGATAACGATTTGGAGGAATAAGATAGTAATTTTAGANAACTGCCATGAAGTTTGAGTTTCACTCAAATTAACCTTTGAGTCAAAATTTAGTTTCAGATGTGTTTAAACTTAAGAAAGGTACCTAAAAAAACCTTGGGATAACGATTTGGAGGAATAAGATAGTAATTTTAGAGTTTTAAATACTTTATTTTGTAGGAGATCAAGATTAATTATTGATTGAAATATTGATGGTTCAAGGTGAATCTTAAGTATTCCAAGATTACTTAAGATGGTTTTAAAGGTTAGAAGTTGAAGGAAAAAAGTTTAGAGGTGTTCTACGGCTTAAACACATTTTTGAAGAGAATTTTGATAGAAAGAAATTTGACACTATTTCAGTCTTTTAGTCATAACTTTTTACCTCGATGTCTTATTCAACTGATTCTTGACATATTGGAAAGAAGAATTTAAGATCTACAAAAGTATATTTCATGACAAATTTATAAATCAGCCTCTAACTAGAACAAAACTAGGCTGGAAGTTTGGGTAGAAAATTGGGTCTATTCAAACGAAAATCTACCGTTTAAATTTTAGACTAATCTTATAATCCTAATTAGAGTGAAAAGCTAGATACTGGAAGTGGGACTCATTCAAACGAAAATCTTCTGTCTGAATGAAAAGACTATTTTTTACCGAATTAACTCTGTGGTATTTGGTCAGTTTCTGACCCTATAAATATTCTAAAGATGCATTTTAGAGTTTATTAATATATTTTTCAACCCTAAGGAGCCTAAGAGAATCTTGAAGAGAAGAGGAGGAGGAAAAAGAGTAGATTGGGCTAGATTTTAAAGAGATTCAAGTATAAAGAAACACATAAAACAATTTAGGAGCAAGTTTATGCGAATCAAGGTATGGTTTCTTTCCCTTTCCTACTCATTGAGGCTAGGGATAAAATTTATTTACTTCTGACTCTAATTCGTGTGTATATTACTGATCTTCAAGTGTTTTGAATTCCTATTAAATACATGATTCATTTTCTTAGAAAAATATCTGATTTACATCCAAATTTTACGTTGTTGATTTGAAAACCCTAGATCTTGAATATTATTAAATTGATAATGTTCCTTGGCAATCTTGTGCATTTTTTTTTATTACAGTTCCCTATATTTCAAGAGTTGTGGATCTATTGCTCATGGTACATATGAATTTATTGAAAATCATGATTTTCTATCTCTTATATGGATAGTTACTCAAACTTATTTCACAGAATGTTTAGATGTGTTTCTTATCTCAAGAGATTCAAAGGTTTCGTATCACTTGTGGTGAGGAAGTGTTAGATCACATTTTGTAATTGGCTACTTTCTTAGAATCCATTAAAAATATTAATATTTTTTATGATCATGATGCTAACAAGTTGAAGATCTGAAAGTGTTATTAGAGAGAGGAGATCAAGCGACAAAACAACATCATTAAACCTCCGTATGAACCTTCATTCTTAGGACAAAAAATAAATACCTTAGTACCTAAGATAAATCCTAATTATTTTTAATTTAGGATGATTAAGATGAAAATGAAATTAGAAGCAATCCATGTATGGTTCCTAGGTGATTTCAAAAGAAAATATTTTCTAAACAATTTTGTGTTTTGAAAATATAGATTGAGCTATTATCAAACACCTCTTGAGCAACACTCTTTAGTGCTCAAGAGGACTAGTTTTTGCTTAATTGTGTTGCTTCAAAAACTGGCAGGAACTGAACTATGCTCACTAGCCTTAACTAGAGTGGTCTCTTTATGACTTAAAAAATTATAAGGAAAAAGACCACAAGGAAATAGCACAAAGCTTGCTCTATAAGTTTGCTCGAGCGATGCTCATGGTTGCTCAAACGGTGCTACTCTTGGACAGGATAGAAATGTGATTTTTATTCCAGTACTAACCGCCCTATGACTGTCCTCCCACTAGTCAAGCGAACATTCCCGAATCTGAGTTTTCTTATTTACTATGACTATCTTTATTCTGGACCTATAAATAAGAAGATCCTTTCTCACAGCTAAGTCAAGCCTCTTATGAGATTTCTAAAAGAGAAAACATTTTTTTCTGTCTTAAGAGCTTCCATCACTAATTTAGGTCCCTAAATCCAAAGGCTACCACAAGACATTCTACTTGACCTCACAACTTGGTGTTGACGATCTTGATGATGTAAACAAAATCCATTGATGCATGCATACTGAGAATCATTGGCATTCCCATGATTGCTCATGGCCTAGACAAACCGTGTGGTGGAGAGTGTAGACATTAAAAAAATAATATATATAACTAGGCCCAAAATTTTGATAAGCCCAAATGATACAAGTCTAAGTTTAATCAAAAAGAGTTGGACCTAAATTCCACAGCCCAAATGTAATTAATCAGTCTTGTTAAATTAAATTAAAATGGACTTAAATTTCATAGGCCCAAATTAAATAAACTTTTAAAAGGTAAAGTGGATTGGACTTAAATTTCATAAATTAACCAAAGTCAACAAATTTATGGGTAATCCACTACCTAAAGACCATACAAGGGTAATAACGTAAAAGTACCCTTATATAGATAACTACTCGTACCACTATAAATAGAAGTCTGGAGGAGGCCAAGAAGAAAATCCAAGGAGGAGAGAAGATCAAGCAGCTCTGCTGGAGTCCATCTCAAGAGGAGAAGGGAAGATCAGTAGCAAAACTTTGGCAGAGTCTATCCCTGACTGAAGTCTTGCAAATCTATCTCTAAGGAGAAAAAACACCACAAATGTCCTTCTTCAAAAGATCCAAATCATCTTTCAGTCATTCAACACAAAAAACAGCGAGAAGATTTAACAAAGTCAAGTCAAATATCAAAGAATGAGATTCACGTCAATTTGACTCTCGTCTTCAACAAATCCACAAAATCAAAATTGAAGAACGAGAAGCACGTCAATCCAACTCTTGTTTTCAAAAAATCAACCAAAATCAAAATTAAATCAAAGATTGAGGAACACGCTGATCAAGCCCCTATCTTACCAAATCAAAGATCGAGAAACACGCCGATTAGGTCCTCGTTATCATCAAATTCATTGAGAATCAAAGGACACTACACATGAGAAGCACATCAAAAATAGTCAATACTACTTTATTAAATCAAGTCAAATTATTTAACAATTATAATTTGGACATTACTTTTGTGTTATATTACATTACAAAATTTTGTCATTACAAATTTGGCACGCCTAGTGGGACTCTTTCTTCGTCTCATCTCTCAAGTCAAAAGGTCAATAAGCCTGACAACAATGACAGCTAAATACATTGTGATTCCTCTCACTGACAAGTTAGCAGACCTGGTCAAGGAGTCAATTCCAACAACTCGCGCTAGAACAAAGGCGGGCATATCTCAACTCTTGCCATCAATGGAGCATTGCTCTAGGTAAAGTAAAAGGAAGGCCCTTCCAACAAAATAGAGACAACTTGCCCATTCTTCTGTCGATCTATAGGACGAAACAGATGATTCTCTACCCAACACACACTCCAACACTGGTTCGAGGTCTTAATCTTACTCTGAAACTTCTCCTAAGTAGAAGTGGAGTGATTATTCATTAGCCTCTAATACATCTATGCCTATGATGGTGACGAAAGTCATTTCATCTGAAGAACATATTCAAAAACTCACTAATACGATTGAAAGATTAACCAAAGCTCTTGAAGGTAAAGAAATGCAAATTGTTGCACTAATGAATAGGCTCAAATTGCAAGAACCTTCAAAAGTAAACAGTCAAGAAACTTCAAATTCATTTGGTACCGAAACACCAGAAAATCCTAAGTCTTTAAAAAACCAACAGAAGTAAGAGCAGTATGATCGAGTTGTGACGCAAAATGTAATGCGAGATTCTTCTCAAATTTCTGTTACTACACTCTCTGTCCAATAACTCCAGCATATGATTGCAGATACGATCTGAGCCCAAAATGGAGAAGCTCAACAATCTTTGTTGATATATACGAAGTTATATAGACGAAAAATTGATGAGATACAAATGTCTATGAGCTACCAACCCCCGAGGTTCCAACAATTCAATAGAAAAGGCAACCCAAAGCAATATGTTGCCAATTTCATCGAAACTTGCAATAACGCT